CTTGAGATATCAAAGAGATTGTCAGATGATTTCCGCATTCTGTTGGGTCACCTCTCTTTGGAATGGGCATAAACATTGATCTCTTCCAATCAGTCGGCCAGACAGTTGTCTTCCAATGGTAGATATTAGATTTTAATTAAAACATATGAATAATAACCAAACATGAATTATCTATAAAGAGACTTTAAAGTAAAATACAAAACAAGACCCAAGTGTATGATGTCTTCAAAATACCCCTTTTAAATGCAAAGACTCATATAAAGTAAAAGTAAAAAGATGGAGAAAAGCATGCAAACATAATTCAAATGAAAACTGAAATAACTGTATTTCATCTAACAGATCTGAAAATAAAACTAGATGAATCAACAGTTACACTTGGATATTTCAGTTCTCCTAGTAATTGACCAATAAACAACATTCTTATCAACGGAGAAAAGATTGAAGTTGTCAAGGACTTCATTCTTCTTGGATCAACTATCAACACTCATGGAAGAAGCAGTCAAGAGATCAAATGACATATTGCATTAGACAAATCTGCTGCACAAGACCTTTTTAAAGTGTTGAAGAGCAAATGTGTCAGCTTGAGGACTAAGGTGCCCCTGACCCAAGCCATGGTGTTTTCAATAACCTCATATGCATGCAAAAGATAGACAGTAAATAATGAAGACCATAGAAAAATTGATGCCTTTGAGTTATAGTGTTAGAGGAGAATATTTAAAGTGCCATGGGCTGCCAAAAGAACCAATAGATCTGTTTTGGAGGAAGTGCAGCCAGAGTGCTCCTTAGAGGCCAAGATGGCCAAATTTCGTCTCTCATACTTTGGACATATTGTCAGGAGGGACCAGTCGCTGGAGAATGATATCAAGTTTGGTAAGGAAGAGGGTCAGAGAAAAAAAGGAAGACCCCCAACAAGATGGATTGGCCAAGTGGCAGCATCGATGGACTCATGTGTGGCAACAGTAGTGAGGTTGTCCCAGGATAAGACAGCGTTTCATTCTGCTGTGCATAAGGTCGCTATGGGTCGGTACCAACTTGATGGCATCTAACAACAACAACAAAGTAATTGATAAAAATAAGCAGCAAAAAATCAGTGAGAAAAACACAACTGTAAAAGCAGAAGTTGGGTAACATAAAGGCGGGAATAGATAATCTTACAGTCCAGGAACTTAGGACCCTCAAGAGAGAAGAGCATGAGCTGAACATGAGACCCTAACTAGAGAAACAGCAACACCAAAGATGGAAGCAAGGGTGATGAAATGGTGAGAGAGCACAGCTGACGACTCTAGACTCATGGAAAGGGAAAGACTGTATCCTGGCAGCCAGAAGCAGGCTTGCAGATTGTGCCCTTAGGCTGTTTAAATGATTAAATATTCCTGAGTGTTTTGGGGGTACATAAAGAGAGAGAGAGAGATCTGATTGCCTTTCAGAGAGTACCAGCCAAGCTAAGCCCACTACCGCTGAGTCAGTCATCTCTAATTTAACTGAATTTTTGTTGTTGTTGTTGCTTTTTAAAAATTCTTTTTAGTGGTCTGATCTGAGAAGCCTAGACCTAGCTTTTGTGTAGTTATCATAATTTTAATTTTGAAGCCTTTCATTTTCTAAAAAAAAAAAACTTTTCAAAGAAATGCTAGGTGTTTGCACATTGAAGGCCCATGTTCTAGTGTAAATTGCGGATCTACAAGTATCAGAATATAACTATGAAAGACTTTGAAATGGGCAAAAAAGATTACTAGTTGACATTGTTACAACTTAAAGGTAGAAGGTTTGTAACATAATGGGGGGAGTAGATAATCTTATAGTCCAAGAACAGAGCACCCTAAGACCACCAAGGGAGAAGAGCACGAGCAAAAGGTGGGATCCTATCCAGAGAAGCAATGACACCAGAGATGAGGACATGGAGAGAGGGAGCAGCTGAGGACTCTAGACTCAAGGAAAGAGAAAGGCTGTGTGCTGGCAGCCAGTAGGCAGGCTTGCAGAATGTGCCTTTTAGTTGTTTAAGTGATTATATATTCCTAAGTGTTTGGAGGTACATGTCCCCCCTAAAAAATAACAAAATCAGAGAGAATAGAAGCAAATACTGTTTAATGATGATGCACAGAGGAAATTGTAACTATTGCAATGAAATAAAATACAACAGGATGATTGCAAAACCGATATTCTCCCATATAAACTATTACTCAATTCACAATAAAAGCTTAAAAAAAAAAAAAGTGTAAAAAAAAAAAAAAATTGCCAGGTGGCTTGTCCCTCAGATTAATCCACCTTTCATTACCTTTGAGCTGTGTATACAACTTTGTAAGTTACAAAAAATAACCTGATAGTACATATGATTCTTATTCATAGAACTGCAAATTGTTCCTAGCATCCAACTGGTCTCTCTCATTCAATAAGTAAGTGTTGCATCTATTGTTCAGCAATTTAGTCTGTATCATTCTTTGGATTATCCTTTGAATCTGTTATGATATCTTACTCATTGATTAATAAGTTAAGTAAAATATTTGGTACATTTTTTTTTTTTAATGTATACGTAATAAAAGAAAAACAGTGGGAAAATAAATGACCTGAACAATACTATCACTAAATGACTTTGAGAAGGATCAGCATGAGGTTGGTCCCTATAAGATTAAGGATAAAGACATTCCAAATGTCCTACTTTTCTAAAGTGTTATTGTTGTCAATAAGTGCTATGAAGTTTGTTATGACTCATAGGGACCCTCTGTAGGGTTTCCAAAGAACAGCTAGTGGGTTTGAACCACTCACCTTGTGGTTCGCAGAACTGTGCTTATCCTACAGAGCCATGCCAACACACCATAATCCCTAATATCAGCCACTACTCTCCCCTCAAGCAGCTCTGGTAGGTAGTAGTTATGAGTTGGGCTGCTAATCTAATGGTCAGCAATTTAAAAACTAACAGTGATTCAGCTGGAAAAGATGAGGTTTCTGCTCCCATAATGATTTACAGCCTCAGAAACCCTATACAGGGTCGCTATGATTTAGAACCGACTCCACAGCACACAGCCACCCCCACTCCTCCCCTCAGTATTAGCTTACATGCCATAGGGTTCTGCAATTTGCTACAACATCTCATAGAACTCAGGACTGTCATGGAAATGGTTTACATGGCTGTGGAGACTGGCAAGTTCCCAATCTGCAGTTCAGATATCATTATGAAGGATTCTCCTCACTCACGCAAACTCAGACAGTTGACTCACAATAGAAGCTGGCAAATCAGGTCAGACTGCTAGCTCAAGTTTCAAGAACCAGAGGTCAACTGGAGGTGAACTTGATTAGTCAAGCAAAGGAGCACATAGCCCCTGCACATCCCCAAGATGGCTCATTTTATATGGAGCAGGATGGCTATCCACGGGATTAGCAACAACAACCAGCATCAGCCAAACATCTTAAACTGAGTGGCACAAACAGAGAACAATGCACATGCTTCCATTAACTAGCCACACCCCCAGAAGGCAATCGGTAAGTACTAAGAATATGCCAACATACAATTATCAGCATAATACAAATAGAACAGCACCACAATGTCTCAGAAGCAAGAGGCCATTTATGTTCACCCGAAAATGCAAATGGCTCAAACAATTGACCCAGAGGCAGAACTACTGGAAAAAGAATTAAAGAGAATGATATTTAGGTACCTCCAAATGATTGACAGAAAGGTCAAGGAAAATAAGGAAGAATTCAGGAAAACAATACATGAACAAACGAACAAATTAGAGAAAGGATTGGAGACAATACAAAACCTGCAAATAGAAATCCGGTAGATTAAGACTAAGATCTCAGAAATGGACAATACATTGAAAGGGCAAAGGAGTAGGTTTGAATCAATGGAACCCCAAATTATTGAGCTTGTAGATAAATCTCTCAATACCTAGTAAAATAGAAAATCAGAAAAAAAGAATGAAAAACTCTGAAGAAAGCCTAACATTCATGTGGGATGACAACATGTAAAGGAATATCTTATGGGTAATCAGAATTTCTTAAAAGGGAGACAAAAAACAAAACAAAACACAACAACACAGAAAAGATCTGTTTACAGAAAACTTCACTTATCTTATGAAAGATGAGAAGATAAGCACTCAAGAAGCTGAACAAATATCAGATAGGCTAGACCCTAGAAGAAAATCATAAAGACATATCATAATAAAACTTGAAAAGCAAAGACAAGATAAGAATTCTAAGAGCAGGTTGGGGAAAAAGAAGTTACTTACAAAATAGAAGCATAAACCATGTAGGCAAGAAGGCAATGGGAAGACATATTCAAACTTTGAAAGAAAAAAAAAAATTGACAACCAAGAATCATATACCCAGAAAAACTTATCCTCAAATATGATGGTGAAATTAGAACATCTCTAGATAAATTGAAATTAAAGAAATTTGTAATAAGCAGACCTACTTTACAAAAAACACTAATGGAAAAAATATATATCAAGTTAGCATGAAGCAAAAATGAGCAAGAGTAGCAATATTAGCTTCTAATAAAACAGACTTTAAGGCAAAAGCCAGCATAAGAGACAAAGAAGTACATTGTCTAATGATTAAAAGGTGAATTGAAAAAGAGGATATAACCATAATAAATATCTATGCTCCCAATGAAAGAGCCTCAAAATATATAAATCAAACAATAATAAAATTAAAGAAAGAAGTAGACAACTCTACAATACTAGTTGTTTTTGTTAAGTGCTGTCCTGTTGGTTCTGACTCGTTGTTGTTGTTAGGTGCCATCGAGTGGATACCAACTCATAGTGACCCTATGTACAAACAGAACAAAACACTCCCTGGTCCTGGGCCAACCTCACAATTGTTGCCACACTTGAGCCCACTAATGCTGCCACTTTGCTAATCCATCTCGCTGGGGGTCTTCCTCTTTTTCTCTGACTCTCCACCTTACCAAACATGATTTCCTTCTCCAGAGACTGGTCCCTCCTGACACTATCTCTGAAGTATGAGAGATGAAGTTTGGCCATCCTGGCCTCCAAGGAGAACTCTAGCTGCACTTCTTCCAACACAGATCTCTTGGTTCTTTTGGCAGCCCATGGAACTTTCAATATTCTCCTCCAACATCGTAATTCAAAAGCATCAATTCTTTTCTGGTCTTCCTTATTCACTGTCCAGCTTTCACTTTCGTATGCATATGCAAATTTGCCTAATGCAATACATTGTCTGATTTCTTGACTGCTGCTTTCATGAATGTTGATAGTTGATCCAAGAAGATTGAAATCCTTGACAACTTCAATCTTTTCTCCAATGATAAGAATGTTGTTTATTGGTCCAGTGGTGAGGATTTTTGTTTTCTTTACATTGAGATGTAATCCATACTGAAGGCTGTGCTCTTTGATCTTCAACAGTAAATACTTCAAGTCCTCTTCACTTTCAACAAGCAAGGTCATATAATATGCATATCACAGGTTGTCAAAAAGAGTCTTCCTCCAATCCTGATGGCAGGTTTTTCTTCATAGAAACCAGCTTCTTGGATTATTTGCTTATACAGGTTGAATAAATATGGTGAAAGAATACAACCTTGTCGCACACATTTCTTAATTTTAAACCATTCAGTGTTCCCATGTTCTGTTCAAACAACTGCCTCTTGGTCCATGTACAGATTCCTCATGACCACAATTAAGTTCTCAGGAATACTTATGCATTGCAATGTTGTCCATAGCTTGTTATGATCCACATAATTGAAAGCCTTTGCATAGTCAGTAAAGCACAGATAAACATCTTTCAGCCAAGATCCATTGGACATCAGCAATGATATTCCTCGTTCCATGCCCTCTTCTGAATCTGGCTTGAACATCTGGAAGTTTTCTGTCAATGTACGCTTGCAGCCGTTTTCTGTATTACCTTTAGTAAAACTTTACTCACTTGGAATATCAAAGATATTGTCCAATGATTTCTGCATTTCGTTGGGTCACCTCTCTTTGGAATGGGCACAGATATGGGTCTCTTCCAACCAGTCAGCCAGATAGTCTTCCAAATTTCTTGTCACCGAGAGTGAGTGCCTCCAGTGCCACCTCATTTTCTTGAAAGATTTCAATTTTTATTCCATCAATTCCTGGAGCCTTGTTCTTTACCAAGAACTCATAATGACCCTGTATAGGGTTTCCAAAGAGTGACTGGTTTGCTTGAACCCCAGAACTTGTGGTTCAAACCGACTTCACAGCCCAGAGCATTAACCCACAGCACCACACCACAACTCCACAATATTAGTAGGAAATTTTAATACACCACTTCCAATAAAGGACAGAACAACTAGAAAAAAATTCAAAAAAGACACCAAAGAACTAACAAGACAATCAACCATCTTGGCCTCATACACTTAAACAACAGAGCAGTAAACTCAACAATAGCACAATACACATTTTTTTTTCTCACTGCACATAGAATATTCTCTACACTAAGCCATATGTTAGGACACAAAACAAGCCTCAATTAATTTAAAAACATTGAACTACTGCAAAGTGTCTTTTCAGATCACAGTGGTATAAAATTAGAAACCAACAATAGGAAGATAAAGGAAAAAACTCAAACACATGGAAATTGGATAACAATCTACTGAAAAGTAATAAAACAAAATAAGAAATTTTCTTAAATCAATTGAGAATGAAAAACAACATGCCAAAACCTTAGGGAAACAGCAAAAGCAGTGCTTACAGGGCAATTTATAGCACTAAGCAGACACATCCAAAAAAAAAAAAAAAAGAAAGAACAAAATCAACACATCAACACAGCATCTCCAGCAATTAGAAAAAGAACAGCAAAAGAAGCCTACAGTCACCAGAAGTAGAGAAATAATGAAGACTAGAGCAAAAATAAATGAACTGGAAAACAGAAAAATGATAGAAAGAATCAACAACACAATAAGTAGATAGTGTTATATAAACAATCCTGGAACAACAGTGTTCTGGGGGGTAGATACATGGACAGTTTCCCTGGGTGAGTGGGTATAGGAGGGAGAGTGGGACTATACGATATTTGTACATTGATACTTATCTTCGTTGCAAACACATTGATGGGTATGGTGGAGCATTGTTGTTGTTGAGTGCCATCGAGTTGGTTCCAACACATAGCAATCCTGTCTGTATGGTTTTCAAGGAGCAGCACCGATCTTGTGGTCCAAACCAACTTTGCTGTCCAATGTCTTAATCCACAGCACCACAACAATGGTCATGTCAGCCTAGGCGTTAAGTGTTCCAAGGAGGTGGCCACAGTCATTCACGGGGCCATCATCTTGGCCAAGATGTCCATCGTCCCTGTGTGGCGAGACTACTGGGGGAACAAAAACCCACACAGTTCCTTACAAGATGACCGGCCGCTGCGGCTCTTTCCTGGTGCGTCTCATCCCTGCGCCCAGAGGCACTGGCATTGTTTTAGCCCCTATGCCCAAGAAGCTGCTGCTGATGGCTGGTATTGATGATTGTCACACCTCGGCCAGGGGCTGCACTGCCCCCTGGGCAACTTTGCCAAGGCCCCCTTTGATGCCATCTCCAAGACCTACAGCTATCTCACCCCTGACCTCTGGAAAGAGACTGTGTTCACAAAGTCTCCCTATCAGGGGTTCACTGATGACCTTGTGAAGACCCACACCAGAGTCTCCGTGCAGAGGACCCAGGCTCCAGCTGTGGCAACCACATAAGAGGCTTAGATAAAGAGAAATGAAAGTGAATGCAGCCTGAAAAATAAAAAAATAAATAAAAAGTTCATGAGTCAACATCTAAGGTGCAGCTATTGGTCTCTTCATGTACAAAAGAAAGGAAAATGATGAAAATCGAAGATTGTTGAAATCAACTAATCCTAGTTCATCAATGGAGCAGGTGAACAATTGTTAACTACAACTCTAAATACAGAATGACTAGATGGTGCCCAGCTACCACTACCAAGTGCTCTGAAAGGGATCACATTAGAAAGTTTTGGATAGAATGGCAGAAAATGTAGAACAAAACTCAAAATTATAAAAAAAGACCATGTTTACTGGTCAGAAAGAGTTTGGAGGAACCTCAGATCACCCTTCAGTTCTGGAACAGAACTCACCCTAGTGGCCCAATTTTCAGCCAAGCAGTAGATTGGTGTATAGGGGAGACAACATTAGTAAGATATCCTCACCATGGAATGGTCAATCATTCAAGATCAACAGGGCAAGATTTACTTAAGGACAAAATTGGGAAGGAGGGTGGAATGGAAATAGGAACCACACGGAGGAAGTTGGTAACTGTCGTTGAGTTGAAGGGATTGCAATCATTGAGATGAAACAAAAGTGTAAGATTTTTCTTAAAATTTTTTATTGTGAATTGAGTGAAAGTTTACAAAGCAGATCATTAGTTTTATATTCAACAACAAATCATATACTTAATTTTGTTACAATGTTTACAATCCCCTGCATATACCATCAGTTAACAGTACCTATCTTTAGTGTGGCGTTGTGGGTTAATGCGCCAGACAGAAAAGCCATTTAAACTGCATTCAAGCTCACCAGTTGTTCCTCGAAAACCCTATACAGGGTCACTATGGGTCAGAGTAGACTGGAAGGCACTTAAAATAACAACAACAACATCTCTATTTTTAACATTATTTACCTCTATTCATTTTATTTACTATTTTTCCACCCCCCACTTACCCTGTAACCATAATAGAATGTTTCATTTAGTAAGAAAATCTTTTGTTAACTTTTTATAACAGCTTTGTTGTTGTGTGGTGCCATTGAGTCGGTTCCAATCCATAGTTTCTGAGGAGTAGCTGGTGAGCTTGAACCTCCAACCTTGTGGTTCAAACTGACTTTTCAGTCCAGCACATTAACCCAAAACCACATCATGACTTTAGTGGTTTCATGCAATATTTGTCATCTTGTGATTGATTTCACTCAGCATATTGTCCTCCAGGTTCATCCATGTTGTGATGTGTTTTGCAGATTCTTCGTTATTCTTCAACATTGTATAATATTCCATTGTGTGTATGTACCAGTTTGTTTAACATTTCTTGTGTTGATGGGCATTTGACTGTATCTATCTTAAGGAGCTCTGGTAGCTAAGGAGCTCTGGTAGTGTAGTGGTTATGAATCAGGCTGCAAACTACAAGGTCAGCAGTTTGAAACTACCAGCTGTTTCGCTGGGAGAAAGATAAGGCTTTTTGCTCCCGTAAAGATTTACAGCCTCGGAAACCCTGTACAGGATCGCTATGAATCAGAACCAACTCCACGGCACATCACCACCACCACCACCTTCTTTTTGCTATTATGAATAGTGTTGCAATGAACATAGGTGTCACCGCTTTTATTTCTTGAACATGCATACAAAGTAGAAGGATTGCAGGGTCATATGGTATTTCTAGTTGCAACTTTTTGAAAAAGTGTCATAACATTTTTCATAGTGGTTGCACCATTTTACAGTCCCAAAAGCAGTGTAGGAAGATTCTAGTCTCTCCACACTCTCGCCAGCATTTGTTGTTTTCTAGTTTTTGGAACTTTGCTATTAATGCTGGCATAAGATGACATCTCATTGTTTTTTTGATTTGCGGTTCAAACTTACCAGTCACTCCTCATAAATCCCTTACAGGGTTGTTCAGAATGGAAACCGACTCGATGGCACTTACCAACAACAATGGCTAATGAACATGAACATTTCTTCATGTTTGTTGCCTGCTTTAATGTCTTCTTTGCTTAAGCGTCGGTTCATATCCTCTGTCCATTTTTTAATCCGACTATTTGTCTTCTTCCTATTGAGGCGATGAAGTGTTCTATAAATTTTGGAGAGTAGCCCACAAAGTGTAAGATTAATTGAATGGAAAACTGATGGTATTCTTTGTAAACCTTCACTCAATTCACAATAAAATGTTTTGTTTTAAAAAAATGTTGTTATTATTAGGTAGCCCCCAACATGAACATTTCTTCCTACGTTTGTTGGTCACCTGAAGACATGTTCATGATAATTAATCATTGTTGCAGTTGTTTAGTGCTGTGGAGTCAGTTCCAACTCACAGCGACCCTGTATAGGGTTTCTGAAGAGTGGCTGGTGAGTTTGAAGTGCCAATCTTGTAGTTCAAACCATCCATGGGGTCCAATGCTTATGAAGCAAATAAAAATAAAATGAGATAACATCTCACCCCAGCATTAATAGCAAACTTCAAAACAACAGAGGAAACAAACGCTGTTGAGGGTATGGAGAGACTGGGAGCCTCCTACATTGTTGGTGTGATTGTAAAATAGTACAACCACTATGGAAAATAGATCTTCCTCAAAATGTTAAAAATATCAATATCATGTGACCCAGAAATCCTTCTAGTTAGTATATATCTTCAATAAATAAGAGCTGTAACACAAATAGATACATGCACATCCATGTTTATTGCAGCATTAAAATGGATAAAACCCAATGCCAATCAAAAGAAAAATGGATGAAACAAACTTTGGTATATACACACAACAATGGAGTACTACATAATGGAGTACTATACAACGCTAAAGACAAATGATGAATCTGAAAAAACACTGGATGAATTTGGTGAATACTACACTGAATGAAATTGTTCAATCACAAATGGACAAATATTGTATGAGAGCACAATTATAAAAATTCAATAAAAGGCTTTCATGCTAAAGGAAACATTCTTTGATGGTTATTAGGGTTGGGAGGGAAGGGAGAGTAATTCATTGGCTAGAGAGTAGACACGAGGTTAGCCCAGGTGACAGGGAAGGCAATATACAACAAGAGAGAGGCTGGCAGAGGAATGATGATGACCAAGTGGTAGATAGGCATACGTTGCTGTTGCTCTTAAGTGCTGTCAAGTTGGTTCCAACTCAAGTGACCCTGTAAAGGTTTTCGAGGAGCTACTGGTGAATATGAACCACCAGCCTTGCAGTTCAAACCAAACTTTCAGTCCAGTGCTTGTCCTACAGCACAAGGGACAAAAATACTAGTAAGGTATGCTCATCATGGAATAGTTAAACATTCAAGTTCAAAAGGGAAGCATTTACTTAAGGAAAAAGTTCATAAAAATGGGAAGGTGGGTGTAATGGAAATAAGAACCACAGTGAGGAGGTGAGATAACTGTTGTTCCATGGAGGGGATTACAATCATTGAGATGAAACACAAGTGTCTGGTTTGTTGAATGTAATGTTGATGAAATGCTCTGTAAACCTTCACTCAATTTACAATAAAAAGTTTCCAAAATAGTATTTTATCAATGTGAATCTATACAGTTAATAACTATATAGAAGTTATGTAAGAAAATATCCTCCTTCTTAGAAAATATGCATTGAAGTCTTTGCATGTAAAGAGCCATGCTTGTGGGTAATTTACCCTCAAATAATGCAGACAAAGGTATGCATAAGCATATATAGCATTATAGAGAAGAGAGAGAGAATAAAACAAATGAAATAAACTGTAACTAATAAATAATCTGGGAAAAGTGATCACAGATGTACTTTATGCTATTTCAGTTTTGCAATTAATTGTAAGCTTAAAATGATTTCAAAATTAAAATCTGTAAAATGCAATATAAAAACAACAAAAACACAATTATAATAGCTACATTTCTGTTTTACTTCAACCTCAAAACACCTTTTCAAGTTAAAAAAGAAAAACCAGTTGTCGTCCAGTTGACTTCAACTCATGATGACCCAATGTGTGTCCCAAAAGAATTGGGCTCTGTAGAGTTTTCTGTGGCTGACTTTTTCAGAAGTTGATCACCAGGACTTTCTTACATGGTGTCTCTTAGTGACTCAAACCGTCATCGTTTCTGTTAGCAGCCTACCATCTTAAATGTTTGTACCACCCAATGACTTTCCTGAAGTACCTCTAAACCAGAGGTGCAGAACCTATTTGTGGGCAAAATTTAAAACATCATTCACAGGCCATACAAAATTATCAACTTAAAATTGGCCTACTACATTTGGTCAAACATTTAATGAATTCACCCCCAGTGTGACAGCCCACCACTCACCAATCAGTTGGTCATACTGTGGTGGCTTGTGTCTTGCTGTACTGCTGGAAGCTATTCCACCAGTATTTTAACTACCATCAGGGTTACCCATGATGGACAAGTTCCAACTGAGCTTCCAGACAAAGACAGACTAGGAAGAAGCAGAGACAGACTATTTCTGAATATTTAGTCACTGAAACATTATGAATAGAAGTATTCACTAGAATACTGAATATTGAAATGATAAAGAGCACCAGAATATTGTCAAATATAATGCCAGAATATGAGCCACTCATGTTGGAAGGCACTCAAAACACGACTGGGGAAGAGCTCCTTCTTCAAAGTAGAGTTGAGCATGATGGCATGAATGGAGTAAAGCCTTTGGGACCTTCATTTGTTGATGGAGCACAATTTAAAATAAAGGAAAACAGTGTTAAACATCCATTAATAATCAGAACATGGAATGTACAAAGTATGAGTGTAGGAAAACTGAAAATGGTCAAAAATAAAATGGAACACAAAAACATCAATATCCTAGGCATCAATGAACTGAAATGGACTGATATTGGCTACCTGAATCTGACAATCACATGATTTATTATGCCAGAATGACAAATTGGAGAGGAATGGTGTCAAATCCATCATCAAAAAGAACATATCAATATCTGCTTGAAGTACAATGCTGTTTGTGATAGGATAATATCCGTATGCCTACAAGAAAGATTGGAGTCCTGGTGTGGGTTGACGTGCTGGACTGCATTTGAAAC